TAAGATCTTGCTAGAAGCGGGTGCTCGTCAAATACACGGGGTAAAGTTATTGTGAAAATATAGCGCCATAGTTAATAAGTCCACACGTGCTCTGCAAACGAAATTTCCCGCACAATTCTGTAACAGAAGTACGATGGTTGAAGGCTGCTTTTTCTCCTATAAACTAAGTCGGTGCAACAAGTCAACGTTTACTGGCGGTAAGCAGGAGGGATGGAAGCTGTTAACTTTTTGACGTTAGTGTTATGTATCGAAACAACAAAACCTAATTAAGGGGAACCTGTTAAAGATAAGAAACATTAAACGGCACAAATCTATTTTTTGTGTAGTCCCCATTTCTCTGGTCCTGGGGCAATGAGCAATTAAGGGGACCAAAGGTGATCGAAATGCGTCCACGGGTAAGAAAGATGAAAAAACTATTTTTTTTTGTCTGAAGAACCGAGTGAAAAATGTTTTTTCGTGACGTGCGTTATCTCTACTTTTAAGTATTGTGACAAATCCAAATTTTTTGCATTTTTTACTGATCTTTTAACTTGTTTATTTGTATAGTCCCCATTTCTCCGGTCCTGGGGCAATGAACAATTAAGAGGACCTAAGGTGATCGAAATTTGTCAATGGATAAGAAACTATTTTAAGGTAAGCTATAAGTTGCTATGTTCTTTAACTTTTATTTTTCTGCTCTACATTGTCCCTACCGGATAATCTTTGGTGAACAACGGAGCAAATTTTAACTTGGTCCCCACATTGTCCGAAGACAATATTTTAGTCGTGCAGTGTAACCGATTGCTGTGATTATCATGATCAATTTATGTGATGAAATGAAAGCACCAAGCCTTTCCCACGGGAAGAATTGAACCTAGTTTGAGGGAATTTATTTAGCTGGTCGTTTCGAATTGAACGGTTGACTAAGAAATTAGGGTAAAATTGCGAAGAGAAAGCGGCTTTCTTTTTTTCTTGCGACGGTCCCCATAATTTTTCACTACATGATAACAAAATGTCTGCACATGAGGCATGAGCAGTTTGGTGATAGGACAGAAACTTAATAAGAACAACTTAATGTTTCTTTGGGTCAGATATTTATTGGAAGAGGCTATGTCCGGTGAAATAATGAACAAAATGCTCGGTGGGCAAAGGCTGCTTATGCTGTCTACTAAGTCAGTGCAATGAGTAAACGTTTACTGGCGGGTAGCAGAGGGATACAAGTTGTTAACGTTTTGACTTTAGTGTAATGTATCGAAAAACAAAAACCCTAATTAAGGGGACCCACGGAGTGGTGAGTGAATCTGTTCAAGATAGGAAACATTAGACGGCATAAATTTATTTTTTTTGTAGTACCCATTGCTCCGGTCTTGGGGCAACGAACAATTTAGGGGACCAAAGGTGATCGAAATTTGTCAAAGGATAAGAAAGATGAAAAGACTATTTTTTGTCTAAAGAACCGAGTGAAAATGTTTTTTCGTGACATGCGTTATCTCTACTTCTAAGTGTTGTGATAAATCCAAATGTTTTGCATTTTTTTACTGATCTGTTAATGAAACATAAGCCACTGCCAGTATGATAAGCATAGCAAGTTCCATGAGACTTCAGTTGCATCTGGAGTACAAGTGGAGCCAAAATGTAACTATTTTAAAGGTAAGCTATAAGTCATCGTTATGTTCTTCACCTTTCACTTTTCTGTTCTGTTCTGTTGGGTGACATCGCACCAAACTTTTAACATGGTCCTCACATTGTCCAAAGACATAATTCTCAGTCGTGCAGTGTTACTGATTGCTGCGATTATCATGATTAATTTATGTGTTGAAGTGAAAGTACAGAGCCTTTTGAACGGAAAAATTGAACTTAGTCTAAAGGATTTAATCTAGTCGCTCGTTTCGATCAGTCGATTTAGAAATTCAGATGTTTCTTTTGGTAAGATGTCTATTGAAAGAGGCTATGTCGACTCATAAAATCGGGTGAAATGATAATTAAAATGCACGGATGTGTTTTCTCGTCATTTAGAGGTCCCCACATTGTGGGTTATATCCATGGCAAAATATTTAATTGCGAAAATAATATGACCAAATAGACTTGACGATGTTTCCAAACCATGGACTTGAGAGGTAAAACTTCGCTGAGGGGAGCGAAGAAAGTTCCATGAAATTGTGTGGCAGAAAGACAGCAACAGATTCGACATTAAAAATTGGCGGGTAATAATTAATAACACGCGCAAAAAAATAAAACAGTGCAAAGTGGCTCAAGAACACAAAATTGCTCAAGACGGCGTAAGTTAACATGCTTCGTTAATAGGATTTACGTATGAATTAAGGCGATGAAATCTTGCTGGAAACTGGTGCTAATCAAATACAAGGGGTAACTTTTTTCGTAGAGATACAGCGCCATAGTAAGAGTCCCCATGTGCTCTGCAAACACAATTTCCCGCGCAATCCTGTAATCTATTACTGTGCTGATCAGTTTATGTGATGAAGTACAACTGCATATCGAGCCTTTTAATGGAGAAACCTGGACGTTATTTATCAGAACTTACTTTAAAAATAATTTACCGTGTTGGATTTTAGCTGAAAATCTACTTCAAATTCGAGGGAATTGTTAAAAAAAAAAAAAACGGAATTTTTTTTCTTGTGCGGGAATGGCCATATTATTTAGTACGAGTTCATAACATGTTTGCGTGGTCTTTAGTTGCTAATATTCTCTGTGCGGCAATATGACCCTCAAGATAATTTTTTGCGATGATAGCGACCTAAGGTGCCCACACGGTCTGTACACAAAATCGTCTGGCATGCTGTTACTGGTTGTTCGTTGTTGTTATTGTCATGATGAAATTATAGGATAAATTTGAAGCTATCGAATTCTTTTTTTTTTAAACAATGAACTTAATTTAACAGAATTTGCCGTACAGAAAGTTACTTAGTCGGTCGAGTAAGAAATTTGGGTAAAATTGAGACGAAAAGACGGATTTATCTTTTTGAGAAGGTCCCCGTTCTTAATCACCGATCACTCGGCAAAAAGTGTAAATACGATGATCACAATGTTTACCAAATATAAATTTAAGGGTTAAAACTTTGCTAAGGAGAGCGAGAGCATTTCGATGGAATCGTGTGGTGGAAAGTGACCGAGAAATTTGACAGGGAAGAAATTGGCGGGAAATTAATGAGAGGCCAAATATTGATTTGTACAAATCGGCCCAAGGACGCAAAATTTCTCAAGACGGCGTAAGTAAAACGTTCCTTTGATGTGATTTATTTGTGATTTAAGGTAATGAAGCCTTGCTGGAAAACGGGCGCCAATCGGGGTAATTTTTTTTGTGGATATAGCGCCATAGTCATTCACAGAGTCCCTTCATAATCTAAAAATAAAATTACCCGCGTTATCTTATCACCTTTTACTATGATTATGAATTTATGCGATGAAGTGCAGCTTTGTAGAACACTGAAGTTTATTTAAAAAAGTTGTCTGTTGTGTTCGAGTGAAAAAAGGGCTCAAACAACTTGCCATCTTTTAGGAAAAGCAAAGGAACGGTAAATTCATTGGACAAATGTTTTAATTGGAAAAATTTACAAAATGTACGTGAATAGGGCGTTTGTTGTCTTTTGCCCGGCCCGCGAGAAAGGGAAGGTCAGAATCATACGGATCACAGTGGAGATTTTGTCACTACCGGGAAAGATTCATGAAAATGTTGCAACATTTTCATATATGATTTTAAAGTTGGCGTAAGCCCGTTTTTGGAGATTTTTGGAGGAAAAGGGCGGCCTTTTCAGATTTAAGATATCAAAAGAATGCGTCCTTCGGAATACTCCACAGCTTAAAAAATGGTGTAAATTTATTGATCTTAAAAATTTTGTGGTTATGTATTTTTTATCAGTTTATTAATTTATTTGGTAGCAGTCCTTTACAACAAAGAATGACCGAGGGAGGTACATCGGTTAGCCTCATGCTGGCTATAGCTACAACCCTGTTTTGTCAGACTCTCAGATCCCCAACTGAAGGCAATTCAATGTACTTTACAGCTACCCCACATATAGGTGACATGGAACTACAACAAAACTCCTTCTTCCTCTTAGTCCAAGATCATTAGACTACAATCCCTTTCAGACTCTATTTTATGCTAAACTTTCTCATACATCTTATTGTGTCCAGGGAAAAACTGTTCGACTAAAATCGTAGCCAAAGGTAATATGTGCGACACAGATAGAGCAAACAAAAGAGAACAATACCAAAAAAACAATATTATTAGAATGGTTTAGACGAAGAGGGTCAGCTTTAGAAAATTGGAACGCTTTGGAAATTACTAATAGACCATGGAAAGGCAATTACATTACTTTTCTTGCGAGCTTAAAAAATAGGCAGTCTAACCTTGCATGAGGCCACTGATATAGTATGACTTTTATAGCATTGAAGATAACTAGGGGTTGTATCATGATGCTAAAAGGTAGTGTTGCAGAAAATTTCCATTCACATGTAAAACAGTAAACTGCCGTAACCCACGTATCTATGAGTACCCTTTTTGTGGAGAGAAAGATGATTCGCGAATATAGTGATTGACTGACATTCAGGCAATAACTAAATGGTAACAAATAATCATAATAAAGATAATAATAATGGTAAATTTATAGGGGCTAGCTCGAGAACCTAACTCTTCTATCTCTAACCCTTTAACTCCCAGAAGTGATCAACATGAAATTTCTCCCGATAATGTCCTTATATTATCTTGCAAACAGCTAATGAGAATATTCAAACTTATCAGGTAGAAGTTGTTGTCCTGATCTAACACCAAATTCTCACAACTAATTTGCAAGGATATGTGTAGCACCTAGAAAGGAGAATTACCAATCAGATCTTGGGAGTTAAGGGGTTAAGGCTAAGAGTGATTAGCTCATTTACAGCTACTCACTCATTCCGATAATATATGTGGCTTTGCCTCCCACAGGAGGAAGTAGCCACAAAAAGGGAAGCAAAATGATCAACGGATTTGGTATAATTTTGTTTTAAGGGTGAGGTGTGTTCCAACAGAGAAGTTTTCAAAGGGTGATCTCCCTCTTCAATATAAAGGGAAACTTGTCTCAGAGGATGAAGGTTATCAAAGAGAAGATTTGCATGTGGAAGAAGTAAGAAGCTTTCTCTTCTTTTTTAAGGATGGATTCAAGTGTTTACGGTAAGTTATTTTAATTACAATACAGTAAAACATCACTAACCGTAAGCGCCAAGTTAAACAAAAAAGATTTTAAGGTAGTGAGGGAGGCTGTCCTAAGACTACTGTACACAAATCGACCTGAATGAATTCAAAATAGGCTTCATGAGATTGTTAATCACTGATACTGAAATACATACTATTTTGTGTGTAATGTGCTTCATGATTTGTCATCATTTGCATATTACTCCAAATGAAATAAAATTACCATCAAAATATATGGTACTTTTTTTGCACTTTTTTGGCTTTATCATGAGTTGCATTTAAGTTTCATTGTAAATAAAGTAGTTGTGTAATTTTAGATGGGCTTGGTCTGCGCCACACAACCGAAGGAAGAACTGAAACTAAGTCATCAAACCTTACACTACACTTTTACAAGGAACAAATTGAGATTGCTTTTTTCCAATTATGACTTTGATTTTTGTGGATTTTCTAGCCTTGATGCAACATTCTCTGCTGGACTTGGAAGACTAAAGAACGATAATCCAATAAATAAAGCAAATGAGAAAGATTAAAGGTGAAGACAAAGTGTGCCTTGCCCTTTGTGGACTTCGGAACGGTGAAGGTCTACACTGTGACCATGAAGTTAGAGATCTTCCCAGGCGACAGCTAAAAGGTATTGCAACCTAACCATTAATTACCTGTTTTGGGAGACTTGTGTCATACTTAACAGAACTGCAGCAACTCTTTTCTTTGCTTGTGTTTCAGTGTAATGGACCCCATAAGCTATCAGGGTGTTTGCCCCATCTCTTCTAAAGATCATTTTGTTTTTTTTTCTTGTTTTGTTTTGTTTTGTTTTTTTAGGGGAACATTCATAGCCCTTAGGATAAAAAATTATAACATTTAATTCTCCATTCCAGAATTAGATTTACTCTTAATCTCTCTTAACATGAATATTGCAAATACCATACAATCTGTCTAGATATCATGACAACTCATACCGTCCTTGGTCAAAACAATCTAAAAATTATTTTTTTAATAATACTTCAAATGATGACGACAATGATTATGATGATGGCTCCAATTATTCATTCCTGGTTTCACACAAATTAGCAAAACTCTACACATTTCTTTTTCTTAACCACTTAGGTAATGAGAGCAAGGCAGATGGACTAAAGAATGGGACAGTAAGGTGCAACACAAAAAAGAAGAAAATATGAACAAGGGCAACAGCAGTCCTGACAATGATGAAAGTTTCTACATGGATGTAACAACAAATTCTGAAGATATTTACTCCCTGAATCAGATCAATAACTGTCTATTTGCAGACTCCTTGGAAACTGGTATGTACATACACACACCCTCTATTATATAAACTGAAGATGTCCCTTACACTCTAAACCAATCAGTTCTTAGGGCCCTTTGGAAAATGAAAGAAATTTTTTGCTGTTACAGAAGTAGTTTTCCAATATTAAATCCCCACTGAGTTTTTTGCAAGTGGCTTTTGCCATTTCAAATGTCTTCATAAATATCATTATACATTCTCTTCCAACGTCAAAGGTAAGTTGCAACCAAACAAAAGCCTTAAAAATCATAAAAACAATGAACTATTACTACCACGGCTAAAAGTAAAACAATGGTGTAAGAAAAGTGCAAGAAAAGGGGAGGAGTAAAAGCGAAAGGTGTAAGACTGCTTTTTGTGCATAATCAAACTGCGGAAGCTTATGATTTGCATCTGAAAGAACAGTATCTATAAATGGTGTTTTGGACAGTTTTCGCTCTTCAGACCCTCAAAGTGACTAAAAGAAACGGTTTGAATAGCTTCGAAAGACATTCTCAGACAAAACTCCCCGTAACTAATGCGTCAAAAGATGGTGGTTTTGAAATAGAAGAGTTAAAGTTATTAAATGAAGTTTGGCTCTACTAAGAAATAATGATTATCATATATTCAAACTAAGTATCACAAAACAAGAGAAAGACTGTTACATTCCTTTTTCTTAACCATGTAGTTAATGAAGGTAAGATGCCAGTAAAAGATGGCAAAATTGAGAGTAAGGTGCAACGCAACAAAGAACAAAATATGAACGAGAGCAACAACATGGCTGATGTTGATGAACAATTCCGGATAAATATCAAAACAACTAAGGATGTTTACTCCATGAATCGGAATAACTAAATATCTGCAAACTCCTTGCAGCAATGTCACGAGTGGAAACTTGGGTTGTATGATAAGGAATGCTGGGTAAACGATGAACCGAATTACAAAGCAATCGAATAATTAGAATCTCTGCCTTTCAATTTGGCTTAATTTAAAGGTAGTCACTAAATTTATATTGATAGCCACATATAAAGCAATTACCTGACATATTTTGAAGGAAAAGGAACTTGTTATGCTGAAATAAGCGACCACTTGCCACACGGGGGTATCAGAGAGTAATCATTTTACGAAATGGCATTGTAAGGGAGATACAAATTGGAAAGAAACATCAAACTAGTACAATAACACAATTAGTGATCAATCTTAAACTACTCAGATTTATTTTATTGACTGGTTGGATTGTTTTAATTTGGAGTGATTTTTGTCTGATCATCGGTATGATCATCTCTTAATCTGGCCATTCAGTTCCACAGTAGTTGTCCTTGCTCAACCAACATTGCCCATTTTGTATAACTGCTTCAGTCAAATTTCCATAGACAGGTCATGTTCTACTCTCACTTACTTACACTTTTGTATACTGAACTGATCATGCTCCCTAATTTCAAAGAACTTCTGTAAGGGGGGGTTTCCAAATCCTTTTTCGGGCTGAGTTCTTCAAAGCCAGGTTTAGATAATCCAGGCTAAGTGTGAAATCTGGTTCCAGATCTGAAAGCTTTAAATGAAAATTCAATGCAATTCTTTTTGTCTCCAATTTAAAAATTGGATGCTATGAAAAGAAAAGAGAAGGTTATCCAAAAAAGGCTTTTGAAAGAAGGAATAAAGAAGCGTGGATAAAAATTTGACCCTGGGTTAATGCTTATTGGCCTTTGAACAACTGGGCCCAGGAATCTCTCATCAACTTCTTTTTTTCCCACTGGGGCATATATATTTATAATGCTTTCCTAGCTCAGAAGTTTCAAATAATAGCAATTAAGCTTTTTTTTTTATTTGTTCCAGTCTCGCCATAAACAATCAGCATAACTCACTATTTTTCCTCTTGAATTCAAAGGGGAAAGAAATCTACATCTCCAGTTCCTTCTTCTTACAACGGTGGAATAATGCATCACAGAAAAATGCACCTGAAAAAGTCCTTCATTCTGTGTCAGGTAATAATGATTATTATGATAATAATACTTTTAAACATGCTTATAACATAGCATGCTCGCCCTATCTTAGTCCAAATCTTATTTAAGTCGTATTTTTATCTCTAACTTCAACAAAGTCTCCAGTTATCAAGGAAAATGTCAAGAAAATTCTGGAATTGAGCTTCCTTAAGACACTCAAACTGACTGACCAAAAACATTGCCTGACAACAACAATGAAACCAGGAAGGGTATAAACTTCATATAAGTAAGCCCATTACTTGGTGATAAATTACTACAACAACATTTTCAAATGTTCCTAGAACGTTGTAGTGAAAGGTTTATCAATCCTTCTTGTTTTTGTAGGAAACCCGCAACCTTTCAAAAACCCCCAAAGTGAGCAAGCTTCTTCTTACAGTCGGTCAAGGTGAAAAAAGAAAGTTCACAAGGAAAACACTGGCGGAAAATGACTGAAATGGTGAGTACAAGATTGTAGGTGGTCTCAATTTCATAACTTATTTCTCTTGTTCTTCTGTCTATATTGTTCTTGAGAGCCATAAACTACACATTTTTTTGTTCTTCACAAACATGTCTAAGGTGCTAACTATGTTAAAAAAGAGAGAGGAAAGATCGGTCACTTACCAAGTTGAACTACACTAGGAAGCGATCCTAGACCGTTTCATGCTTAGCTGCCAACTTCGTCCCAGGGTACATCGGTCACTTTTTCAAAATGGCGGCCACGCGTTCGTAGATTCCCGTGCATAAGGGGATATGCATGCTAAAACAATTACTTATGGGGACTACCAGCCATACTTATGGGGACATCCTAAAACAACTAGTTATGGGAATTACTTGCCATTCTTAAAGAGCTTATGACACGAATTTTTTTGCGTAAATATTTAGCTTATCATATGTACAAACCAATTCCGATTGAAGAATAGTCCCAGACTCAAAACTCGGTTTTTCCGGGCCCTAAAGTGCTTTTGTCTTAAAAGTGTCCCGTGGACTGGTAACGAATTAGCGGCTGATGACGTAGAAAACTGTGAAAACTCTAAGTCGACACCAAAATACCTTTCACATCTCTTGCAATTTTGTATAAGTCAGCGCTGAAATAATTTTGAAATAACGACCGATAGCGATGTCTGCCTACCTTAAGTAAGCTCTACCGAGAGTTGTAATACATCGTACTCAAGTTATAAAGAAGAACTGAAAGTTGCGAGTACGGTTCAGCCCTAAGAAGGAGAACCGTGCTGCATCAAACGAAGATATCTACGAAGACTGATAAAGGCAGTTTCCCGCTTGCGTTGTTTAGGTCAAGATTAGAACAAAAATTCCCGTTACTGAATGTCTAGTTTGCTGCGCTTGTGTTTTGTGGATAGCTCTGTTCGTTTCTGTTGCAATAACATTTTATTCCTTCGCACTACGTGCGACGTAGGTTCCTCTCGGTCAGTGCTCTAGTGTTTCGTTGCTGTAGAGAAATTCCCTTGGTAAACCAAAAGCTAACTTTTGAAGAAAGAATCAGTCGTATCACGAGGCACGATGATTTTCCACCGAGGAGTAATCGGGCAGTTCTACTGCAAGTTGCTCCTTCTCCCATAGATTGTAAAGGCAGAGGCTATGGTCACGGTCGTCGAGCCGGTCAAACCGAAAGGAAAACGAGTAAGTTTATAGTCATCTGATTCAAGTTAATCTCATATAGGCATTTTAATAGAAAAAAACCTTATTTAGTTTAAGTGCAGCATTGCCATATGACCCATTCCGCACAAAGGAAATAACTGACATTAGTATTATAAATGAATATTTTGTACGCATCGACTTTCATACGGCACTTGAATTCGTTACCATCTAATTCAATAAAATTTGTGTTTCCTTATTTATATCGTTGCGGTGCTGTTATCCCAATGAAATTGCTAATATTGCTACTTTTGGTTTCTTGAGGGTAGGGGGGGATTGATAGCTCGTGAGATGGATTTTCGGAAACCTAGGTTAGGAGAATACACGGCCCCTTTAAGCTTGTTTTTATGCCAGTATCCGTCAGAGGTTGCGCACTGTTCACGCAACAGGATATCGGTCAGCTCAGGAAAGGGCTTTAACTTCATTACAGTTGATGTAAATCTTTTATCAAAATACGATGGAAACTACAATTGGTATGATATTCATACGATAAGAAAAGCGCAAACGTAGTCATGTGGAAAGACAAAAATTGTGAGTACATCTCAAGCGCGTGAAATAAACATCAAGAAGGAGCTCACCACTTTTCATTTGCGAAATGTCAGCCGGAAAGAATGTTGAACAA